ACACTATGCACATTTCTACAAAACCAGATTCCTTAGTTTCTGAATGTTTGTATTTTCTATGTATATATTTAGGGGTGGGTAGTGTGGACTAACAAGGATAAGGATTTAGCTCAGATATCACTTGACCTTTGAAGCTTTGAGTCTGCAAATGCTTAATTGCACCCACAACTTCTATTTGAGCAGGTATCTGCAAACACAATAATTGCAGAGACAAGGGCTATAAACTCCTTTGTTAGAAGTCTCAGGCTATCTGTAGAAATAACCTGCGATGTTCTCTCTGTCTCAGCCTTGCAGGTAGCACTTGATGCTGTCATAAAACTCTTGGCAATCTCTGCTGTCTAATGGCTTAGTTCACAGATACCCTCATCCCATCTGGAAGGTGGCATCTGTCTGTGCCCCTCATCTTCTTCTGAGTCCGCTCAGTATATGTGGATGGGCAAAATGTGCCACTCTCCCACAAATGAATAACTTTTGAATTGTCTGGACTGCCTGTAGTGTTGAGAAAACACAGCAGACACCCTTCCTCTTCTACTTGACCTGCAGGAATGTATTGAACTTCTCTGAAAACAAGACCTAACTATGGATGTTTATTCAGCTCCCTCTTCCCTCCCTTCCTGGAAAGCACACTGAAATAAGGATACTCAAAAATAAGAGTCAAAGGAAATTGAAAAAAGTTGAACTGAATTAAGCAGCTCTGTGTAATATTTAAGAAACTGGAAATAGCAAAAGATAATAAACACACAGACACAAGCACATACAAACACACATGCATATATGTATAAATTATTTTAAAATCCAATAAGACCTTTCCCCAGTGTTATCCTGCAGTATGTTGAAAACACTGTGATGTTATTGATGCTTAGAAGCTGAAGAACAGGCGGATTGTCTTCCTCTCGTTGCCAGTTGCACCAGCTGTGCAAGTGGGCTTTCTGTAATCCTGCATCAAGATAATGCACTTCTAATCTTACTCTTTAAATGTAACTCCTGAAAAAGGACACAGCATCCCCTCCCTGTCATTGCATTTTCACAAAGAACCATGTTCTTTATTTCATTCTTCAAAATTATTGTGCTGTTCTGAAAGAGCCCTTACATTCAGATGATCTTAATTTTCTAATAAAAACTATCATTATTTTACAGCAGCAGAGTCAAGGACACAATTGCTTCACATATATAATAGAATTACCTAAACATGAAAATATCCCTGCAAACTGAAAATTAATTATGATTTCTTCTTCCACATGCTTTAAACAGCAGCCCTTATAACCTGATCCCAGGATCATTTTACTCCTGTTAAATTGGTATTTTCTCAAAAGAGATTAAGTCGCAAACCTGGTTTGCAGTCTTTAATCATAGGATTAGTCACACTGATTTAAAGAATTTCTTACCTGTGTAATGACAAGATCAAGTACTAATCTGTTTTTTTATTCTGGAGGAATAGCAGCAATACCTTGGATGTTCCAAAACCCCGTTTACCTTCATATCTATTCAGCTACCCGTACAGGTAACCCTTGAATCAGTGTATTGGATGTACCCACACCCTTGCTGAACTGTACACACAGGGAACACTTACAGTTGAGATTGTTACTGCCATGAGCCTCAGGAGCATTATGAACCTGGCACCCCCCAATCCCTGGGGTTACTCCTATCCAGCTTGATCTCTGTTAATAACCAGAGACTCCCCAACATCTCTGATGGTCTAAGCCTCCAAGTGATGTATAAGAGGGCAAGGGGACTGAAGAGTAGAAGAGTATTTTCAGTCTCAAAAGCCCTTTAAGGCATGTGAGGTGGACATCCAAAGAACCTCGTTTCAATTTTAGAAATGAAAATGTGAAGAGATTTTTACTAAAATTTAGAGAAGTCCAGTCAGATTTGGAAAATTCCTCATCCCGACCTTGTGATGGATTGTATTTAAAACATTATTTTCCTTTGACAAAATTTGAAGTTCACTCAAATTAAGAAAAAGTATATGATATGAAAACATAATGTATAGAGCTCCAGAGGCGAACACTGGTCCAAACAAACAGGTTTAGGATTATGTTTCCTCAGTATTTTTTATTGTCAAAATAGGCAGACAAGGAAGCTGCTTGTACAGCCGAAGATACTGGGCCCAATATAACGGCACTTTTGCTATGTTCAGCTGTTTTCCTATGTTGAGGGCTTCCCAAAGCACCTTATAAAATGTAAGGTAATATTATTCTATCCACAGTAAGAGCCCAGGTACCAGGGCCATCACCATGTGTCAGCAGAAAATGCAATTAAAGACCTATCATATAAACTTTTGTCTAGAGAGGCTGAAAATTACTCCCAGCCTTTTTGAAGGCTGCAAATTCTTTACATGCAACCAAGCACAAAGGGATCCTATATGAACAAGGTACAGATGTTCACAACTGATGTGTATGAATGATTTAAACCCCTGGGCCTGTAGGCAGTTTTTTGCGGGCAGCAGAGAGCTTTGCCCAGACCAGGGACTGCACAGGGAGTGCAGTGGTCAGTGCTGCAGTGAGTACAGGCTGCCCAGAGGGAAGAAGCTGCAGCTACCCAGAAAACCCAGCTAATTCCTTGAACCGATTTATTTACACAACCTCCAGATGAGTACACATAACATTGCCTTTGGAAATGATCCAGCTCCTCCCTTGGAGCTGAAGAAGGAGGGCAAGCCTCCTTTGAGAGGCCATTGCTGCCTGTTAATTTGCCGCAAGTTCTGCAGGAAGCGGGACGATGGCCTTGTCACAGCACAGCCTGCTGTGCCAACCCATGCTCAGTGATGCCTGCTCAATCCTGAGTGGGAGCAGTGTTGCCTTAAGTCTCCTGCTGACTAGGGTGCTCCTGCTTAAACTGCCTCTGAAGAGGAGACCTCCGTGTTTTCTGTGTGGTTTGTGAGTCTACCCAGGGTGTGAATGGGCCATTCACTATGTGCTATTCTTCCTCCCGAACTGGTGAGGAAACATGGAGGAATGCCGGAGATTTCAGCAAGTTCCAGGGGCCGCTTCAGGGTAGCAGGAAAATGGCAATTTAGCAGTGAAAAGGATGCAGGAGCCTGCAAAAGGAGCCGGGGCTGCCTCTGGGGAGTGGTGGACATATGTGCACACACAGATACACAGGCACACTGCTACCCCAGTCCCCAGGCTTTCCTCAGGGGGTTCCTTCAATTCAGCTGGAGCAACCAGAACAAGCATTGCCAGTGAGCCCACTGGCTGGGCTGGTCTGGCCAAAGGCCAACAACAATAAACAGAAGCCAGTGGGATGCCCGCTGAGCAGACCTGGGACACTGGGGCTTTTTGCAGTCTCTTCACTGGGGACATAACTACTGTCACTGTCTTCCCAGGCCTTGAGTAAATTCAGTAGCACTGGGGTGGCCAAAGGAATTAAAAGTCCTAGCAGTGGGAGAATTTCTCCAGGTGCCTGTGGGGGAAAGAAAGTGCTAAGGGAGAGAGCAGGGAGAAAAGAGATGTGTGGGGACTGAGACAGATCAAAGCAAACACGTATCAACTGAGTAGAGGTAAAATATTGTAAAGGAGGCAGAAAGGAGTGTAAAGGCTTCGAAGAAAGAGGATAATGAGGAATAGGAGGGAAGTACATGGAGACCCAAGGAAGGCAATCTCTGGCCGCTTCCCCATGTTTTACAGTGCAGTAAGTCTAGGGCCATCTGTGAGATCTTAAAAGAGGGGCAGGAGAGCAAAATGCATTCCTCCTTCATCACACAGAATTGTTCTAGAGAAGGAGGACCCCAGAAACTATAGGCCTGTCCATCTCTCTTCAGTGCCCGATAAAATCTTGGAAAAGACTATTCTGGGAAGTACTGAAAAACACCTGCACAACACAGTCACTGGTCACAGCCAGCACAGCTCCATGAGGGGAAAGCCCTGCTCATCAAACCTGATTTCCTTCTACAAGGATAAACCACCTAGTTGATCTAGGAAAGCTAGTAGATATAATTTTTTGGACTTCAGTAAAGCTTTCAATACTGTCTCTCACAGTATCGTTCTTGACAAAATGTTCGGCACACAGCTGGATAACCATATTATGCGATGGGCGAGTAACTGGCTCACAGATAAGACACAAAAACTTATATTGAATAGGGAAACATCAGGCTGGTATCCAGTCACTAGGACTCCATCCTCAGCCCAGTTCTCTAAAAATCTTCATAAAGTGCTTGGACACAATACTTGAAGGAATACTAAGTAAGTTTGCCAAGGACACTAAATTGGGTGGAGCTGTTGACTCCTTCGAGGGCAGAGAGGCCCTGCAGATAGATCTCAACAAATTAGAGGACTTGGAAATTAGCAACCATATGAAGTTCAACAAGGAGAAGTACCAGATTCTGCACCTTGGATGGGACAACTCTGGATGTTTGTACAGGCTGGGGGATGAGATGCTGGAAAGTAGTGCCATGGAAAGGGACCTGGGGGTCCTGTTTGATGGCAAGTTGAATATGAGTCAGCAGTGCCCTGGCAACCAGAAGGGCCAACCATATCCTGGGGGGCATCAGGCAAAGCATCTCCAGCCAGTTGAGGGGGATGATTGTCCTGCTCTGCTCTGCACTGGTATGGCCTCACCTTGAGTCCTGAGTGCAGTTTTGGGTGCCACAATATAAAAAAGATATCAAGCTATTGGAGAGTGTCCAGAAGAAGGCAATGAAGATGGTGAAGGCCTTGAGGGGAATCCTTATGAGGAGTGGCTGAGGTCACTTGTTTCGTTCAGCCTGGAGAAGACTGAGGGAAGAACTGATTGTGGTCTTCAACATCCTCACAAGGAGAAGCTGAGGGGCAAGTACTATCTCTTCACTCTCATGACCAGTAACAGGACTTGAGGAAATGACAGAAAGCTGAGTTGGATATCAGGAAAAAATTTTTCACCCAGAGGGTTGTTGAGCACTGAAACTGACTCCCTAGGGAAATGGTCACAGCACAAATCCTGACAGAGTTCAAGAAGCATTTGGGCAATGGTCTCAGGCACATGGTGTGGTTCTTGGGGTACGCTGTGCAGGGCCAAGAGTTGGACTTGATGATCCTAATGAGTTCCTTCCAACTTAGCATATGCTGTGATTCTATGAGGTCAAAAAGGAAAAATAAAATAAGAGAAAAGCAATATCAACAGAATAAATAGTTGTAATAAAGGCTGGTATTTTGAAAGTTGCTTGAAAGTGTTTGAAAGTCTTTCATGATAGAAAAATTGTGGGAGTGAGAAAGGGAAAGATCTAAATAAATGTAGGGGGGACATGACACAAAGGCAAGTATTTTAAAGTTAACATATTATGTTACTTAAAGATATAAGCAAGGGTCATTCCCAAAACTTTTTCAAGTCGGAATGGGACAGAGCAGCCACAGTCCTGGAGGAGCAGGAACATTTGTGAGTCAGCTGTAACACTTCCATGTCAGGAGAAAAAGCATCATTTTTTCCATCTCTATATGAACCTAAGTGGAAGAATAAGAGAGAAGTAAATGCCTTTTGCCTGAATGTCTAGAAAAAAAAATAAATCAAGGGATTAAATGGATGATGAGTACTTGCAATATGCGGGCCAGATTTTAGATACAAGAGGCTCATAAATAAGCATGATGGGCTCAGAAATTTTGGCCTTTGGTCAGTCATACCGGTGGACTTCTTTAGGCCTCCTGGATGAGATTTTCAACATCCTAAAAGCAAAAACATAAAAAAATGACTATTGAGAGCTGTTTCTTCAGAAAACAAAAGCATGGTCTGTGAGCAAGGCTTTCTGCAGCCCCATATATGAGCTCCCCTCTGCCAGTGAGGGCCAGGTCCACTGCAGCAGCTCCTCCTCACCACAGAGACTGAGCACAGACTGCCACTTCCATAAAAGAACACTGAGTCTGGTCTATCAGTTGCCTCTCAGGGGACTTATGGGGCCAGTGGCACATGACAGTGGCTGCAAAATCACCACCACAGCAGTAAAAATCACACCGCATTGGTGGAATTTATAAAATTAATTACTTTGATCAAGAGACTTTCCAGTCCAAGGAGGGACAACACTTGGGTTTATGAGGTAGGACAGCTTCTTAGATGTAGGCAGTTTCTTCCAGAGAGCAGACTGAGAGAGCATCCATTACTACTATGAAACTTCTGACAAAAGTTAGTATTCCAGTGAAATTTAGTCCAGACTTCTAAATTTCTCTTTGAGGAAAATGAACCTAAGTTTACAATGGAAGGGTGGAGAATTTTTGTTTATGGATATTTTTATGAACAGATGAGTCACATGTCTGTCAGCAGTTATCTAACAGAGCTGGTTTTGCTTTGAGCTGGTCTCACTAGAAGACCACTCTAGGTACCTGTCTAGATGGAAAGATTATATCACATACTTCATTTTCACTTAATGTTAGGAATTGCATTTCTTTTTTCCCCAGCATTTCAAATACTGTACAAGAACTTTATGATTACAAATTAATTGCTTTTTTATGATCTGCAGTGGTTGGACTGCAATTAATCTGTGAGAATCGCTAGCGTTGTCCTTGCATTAGCCACAAACACCTTATCTCCACTCAGTTCATCCTTAGCAAAACCCCATGTATTCTAACGAAATGAATTTATTATGGACATTTCAAATGCATCCAGATTGCGGATAACTTCTAAGTGATTTTGTTATTATTTCTCTGCTATTCTGCTACTGTCAAGGCCATTTCTTCTGTCTTCTTTCATGATCTGTCTTATGGAGATAAAAATCAGCATCTCCATTTCAGCAGCTGGAAAAAAGGTGCTGGAGGGCCACATGACCCCTGTCTTTCTGTGTATCACCCAAGACACTGATCCTACAAAATTTTCCATCATGTTGTGTGAGAACTAATGTATTCTAAAAACAAATGGCAAAGCTCCAGCATATGCACTCTTCATATTCCAGTACTAGTTAGGTGGTGAACAGTAGCTGGGAAAATGGTGAAGACTTTCATTATTGACTGAACGTACTCACAGTACTTTAAGCATTAATGGCACTCAACACACCAAGTATATGAATGAAAGGAAAAACATCACAAGAATGAGGCTTCAGGATTTCAGCACATGGACCTGTACCCCCAAAAAGATATGTAGAGAAAGCAAATCAGATCATGTTTAACTCATGCCATCTGCAAGCTCTTGCAGAGGATTTGTGCTCCAGATAGACATAAATTCTTAAGATTCAGGATAGGTTATTTAATACATGTGAAGCAAAAGATTGCTTTTGGTGATCCACTTGAGGACAAAATACACACAAAAGAGAAGATTTACCTGTACTTATAGATGTGTTAATACCTGTAACACTCCTTTTACTAAGGGTTTATCAATACCATCATTCAAGTCTCTAAGGTATATAACTGACACGAGAAAAGTGATATTCAGCACTTATATGACCTTTACAGTTTCAGAGTATGCCCTGAACTGGGTCCTACCACTGTACCATTACACAAAGGGAGAATGAGAAAGAGTAAATGGTTGACCAAAATTATGTACTAAACCAGAAGCTGAATAGAATTAATTTTTTGCCTGTATAATCTTAGTCCACTGAGTCGCTCAGCCTCTCTACAGCTGTAGACATTTAGGAATCATTTGCTGGAAATTGCTTCTCTAGACTCAACCTCCTAGCTTAAATATGCATTATTTCTTGTTGCCCTTTCCACTCTGTAGAGTATAAGGGATGGACAAACTGATCCCTGATTGTATTCCAGATACAGCACAGTCAGGTTAAAATGTGCCCAGATCTGAGCAGAATGCAACTTCGATGTGTCTGACAAAGCTGCTGGTTTGACAAGTGGTTACAGCCAGTCCTTGGACTGTCTCTTCAGCCAAACCTCTCTCAGTTTATCCAGGTTTATGCCATCTCCTTCACCTCTACCTAGTCCTAGTACATGGTACTGGCCACAGAGTCCAAAAATGGGGAGTCCTTTCACCTCATGATCCTCTTCTAGCACTCTGGAAAATGGCTGGTTCATCTTTAGGGAACTGCAACCAAGCTGAACACAGGCCTGTCCTCTCATCAGCCCCCACAAGTCCAAGCTAGATTTGTAAAACCATATGAAGGGCTGGCTAGTAGCAAAGACCCTCAGCAGGACTATGTACTTCAGGACTACATAGAAAGCTTGTCAAAATTAGTCACATTGCAAATCTTTCTAAAAGACACCAAGGAATAAATTCTATGACCACACAGAATAACTCCCAAACAGGAGGACACAAAAGACTTGGTTAAAGACTCAGGATTGTAAGAACCACATGAAAATAGAGCACAGGCCTCACAATACACGTCTGAAACTGATAGGAGCTTTCATAAGCCTCTGGACATGACTTTGTAATCCCTTTCTCAGATGAGCAGGGCTTACTCAGACAAATAATTGCTTTCAAATCAATAGGAAGCTTGGTATGGATAGTTGCTTTCAGCTCTTGCTGCTGTGGTCTGCTCACATTGCTTTACACTGTACTGTTTGACTTCTTATGCCCCAGCACAGTGAGATCTGGACACAAGTAGTGCCCGGAGAATCACATCTGCTGCACACCCCCAGCAGAAAGTTTCTTCCTGCAGGACCCCCAGCTTATCTCATGTTGCAGCACTGGGACAAGGAGTGGGCAGTTTGCAGAGAGATGTCAGAAGTGGTTTGCATTGTGCTCACACACACAGCTTCAGTATACAGTGCAGGGACCAAATCATTATTCTGCATCTACAATGTCTCTCTTACATAGGCTAAGATCAATATGCATTGTTTCCAGTGTGACCTTCATGGTGAGTACTGCCACATGGAGAACACATGATAGCTCTTACATCAATAAAAAATGTTTAAATAGCAGCTTTTAGCTGTAGTTTTCAGTTTATATCATGGGGTTTTTCCTGAGGCTGTTTGCGTCGTGATCCAATCTTCCTTATTAGCCACATAGCAACTTCCTAGTTAGTTGATGAAGTTTCTTAAAATAACTACTCTAAGAGATGAAAACAGAGCTGATGATCTGATTATCTTCTGGTCTTTTAATGTGATGTGCTACCTTCTAAACTGAAACATGAAATTTTTCCTTCTCTGGTTATTTTGTTGGTTTTTTCACCCTGGTCTCCACTCTTCCTTTTTTTTTATCTGCAGTTTAACCCAGATACACATTGCTCGAAAGACACATCTGACTTGAGTTCTGAATCTATATTATTCAAGTGACTTTGCTGTTTCTATTAAGTAAAATGATTTAGTTCTACAGCTTTTGATTAGAGAAAATGAAAGATCAAATAATTTATCACTGAGTTACAATGATTATAAGGGCCACAATACTTAAGGAGGAGAATTATTAAAATGTCACATACACTAAGCTGTTTATTATTTTGCCAGTCTTGTAGCATTCCTCTCTATTAACACAGAATGATACATTATTTGCAAAAAAACCCAAGTCACTGAAATTAAAGAAAGTTATTGAACACACAAGACATGCATAAATCGGACTGTTCCTGAACCTGGACAGAAAAGCATGAAGTTCAGCTTCTACCCTTGAAGAACATACATCTGTTAGCATGTTGTCCATGAGGGACAGAGGCTGCTCAGTGATCCTGCAACATCAACAACCTCATCCTCTAATCTTCACAGAACCTGCTACTGCAGGATTGTGGAAGCCCCTACCTTTCTATTTGCTTCCCTGGGGGTGATGGTAAAGTCTTTCCTTGTCCCATCACTGTCATATTCACTGATGCAATGGGATGGCCCAGCCTCTCCTCAGAAGGAAGAACCCATTGCTGACACACATTTTATTTTGAATCAGAAGACTATTTCTGGATGCCACAAGGCTGACTCACCAGCCTGAGTTCAAATCCCCAACCAGAGGATTCAGTTCCTTTTGCTTTATTGCTCTGGTTTTACTTCTTCATAATAAAAGAAGAAGCTTCTGAGCACATGCTGAACATATCCTCAATGCCTTTCCTCTCTGTGCCGAGCACAGGCTTGGCAGAAACCTTTCTCTGTGCCTACATGGTTTTGGAGTTTAGAGAAGACATTCTTTTTTCTCTTCCTTCATCCCAGGACCACAGGTATCAACACAAATATCCAAGAGTCATAAATAAAGGAGGTTCTTCACCCATCCAAGATCAGTGTTCCTTGCTGACATAAATGTCACATGATCTGCAAGTGAATTGTCTTGCATGCAGGCCTTGGCAATCACTTGTCAGTCAGTGGCTAGAAGCTTTAATTTCATCACTATGAGGGATTCCCATGGCAGAACTGGACCCCATGGAGTTGTTATTTGAAGACCTATTTGTAAAGCATTTTTAAAGGGTCTGGCTAGCAAAGGAATCTACCAGCCTGCTGGATCACCAGTTCCAGTCCACTCCTGTCATGGGCAATTATGTTTTGTCATTTTTTTAATTATCAAAGATGTAAATTTAAATTAATCATTTGTTGCCCAAGAGAAATAGAGGCATTTCAGAGATCTGGAAACTTTTTCCTGAGTTCTGGCCTAAATTTTATTTACGGGCAATCTATACCCATCTGTTTCTGTGTCAAGTATATTCTTCATCCTGAATAACTTGTCTCCTTCCTCAGCACTCACACCTCAAGGTATTTATAGTCAACTCTCATAACTATTCCCTGACTTTATTTTGCTTGTCTAGACAAGCTGTGCTCTTTTAACATCTTTGTTTTTCTTTCAAACATCGCTATCACTCTGTCTATATCTATTCATCATTTCAGTGTTCTACTTCACCTGGACATCTGACTGTTCAACACAGGACCACAGGCAACTCCAGAGGAAGTTTCACCTTGGCCTTATATCATGTTATAAACACTTTTTCACCAAGAATATTCCATTCAGGTTGACTTTTGTCTTTTTGACAGGGACATCACACGGGCAGCCTAGTAGTCTTCCTGTAACTAAGAGACCTATATCTGTCTTCTCTCCTGTCATGTGCCTATAATGAGAGTGAGGGCACGCATCAGAGGATGTGCTCCATCAAACTGGTGCTCTCAATCCCACTATTTCAAATACCTGGGGAGTTAGGCATCAAGGTAACATGGCAGACTATCACAGCAAGATGTATGGTCCAAAGGGATGTGCTTGCATGGAGCAGGGAGATACCTCCAAGGTGCAGGTTGGCACCTGGGCACCCAGGATCATTAAAATATGAAGAGCTGTTTAGCAAATTTGGGGAATGATCAAAGGTAGCGTACATCAAGTTAGCTTCAGATAGGCTAATAGGAAATTAGCTAGCAAAAAACATTGGAAGGAGGAGGTTCAGAAGAGAAATGAACCCAAGTTGTTCTCTGATGGGGGATTAGAAAATAAACTTAGTTTTAGCTGGTCAACACATAAATTATTTAAGTTGCATTGATTGGAATTATTAAATCATGAGCCATTACCTTATTTAGATTAAGACAATTTCCTGTTAGTGGTAGCAGAAGAATTAGAAGAATAGTGTAACTTTCCTGTCCCTCAGTATGTGTGTGGAAGTCATTATTTCCTTGCACCATTCTCACTGCAGCTGGGCTGCTGCACATCAGGAAGGACAAATCCCTGGCCTGAGAGAGCAGAAGCATAAAAGAATGTAACAGAGCAGCATAGTTAGGGGTTACACATCCATGTATGAGAAGAGTGTTGTCTATATCCAGCCCTCTGCTCCCTGGATTGATTCTACATCTTGTATTGGACAGTCACTTGTTTAAATCTTTGTTTAAGTTATTGAGATAAGATTTACAAAGAGAACACCAACAAACTCTGAAGGATGAGGACTATCTTTCATCTGTCCTCATATTCAGCTGAAAACTATGATTTTACTCTTAACATTTGTATTCCAAGGCTCTATTTCAACTCTATATCACCCCAAATGTTCAGAAATGCTGTAAGTATTCTTACCTTGTTTCTAATTCTTTTTTTCAAAAATTGAGTTAAAAAAACCCGATGAATAACCTGGGATTTACTGACCTCTAATGGCTAAATTAAGATCTTCCACCTTTGTTTAAATATGCCACTAAAATGAAAAAATACATTCAGGAACTGCAGGTTTTTTGATCCAAGACACTCCATCTTCAAAAACATGTCACCTCCTTTTGGTGGTAGGGAATCACTTATTATTTTACATGGGATGAGTAATAAGTTTTTTGATTATGTGAGTAAATTATCAGTCACTTTCCCATTCCCTGTAACTAGAATGATAAGGGGAACACAAGAAGCTCTGGTGCCTGGCTTAGTGCTTTTTAAACAGTTCTGCATACTCTGCTAATGCAAAGCAAGCAGTTCCCTCAGCAATTTTAAACTGTTTACCTATGGACAGATTAGGTTTACTGTATAAGCACATTACTGGAATGTTTGACAAAAAAAATATGGAAAATCAGGACTGGAAGATGTGAGTATTGCATCATGAGCAGGACTTACGAAGACTGGGTTATTCTGACCTCTGGTGACCAAAGATGCAAAACTAAATCCCAGGGAGCTCAGTGCTGTGCTTTGTCACCCCTGCATCCTGCAGACCCCTGGCTGCAGGCAAAGGAGAAGGCTGGTGGGAGGCTGGAGGCATTTTAACCTACTTGGATTAAAATACATTAAAAATAAGGCCTGATATCATTATAGGATTTAGTTAGCTGTGAGCATTTTGAGTGAAAGCTGCATTTGCCTCATCAAGAGCAGGCAAAGAGCAGTTCAGCCCTCGTCTACCATTTCCATGCTCTACTAAAAAACAGTCCAATGGGACCACCATTCATCTGCCATCTATGGCCCCTTAGCCCAAAGAATCAGAAGTTATCATTTCTGTTTATGGTCATGGCTCATAAGGTATTGATGCCTCAGAGCTTTTTTTTTTTTATTTTTTAACTTTTATAGATTTTAGTAGTAGTTTTGTAATAAATTTAGATTTTAATGTAGCTGTATTATGTTCCTTACCCTGTAGCATAATGTTTACACATACCCAACCCTACTACCCCATTTCATATCAATCCCTCTAAAATTCTGTTAGTGTGTTTAGTCTTCTTTTCAAGGTAGAATTGTAGAAAAACATCCTAAGACCTGGACCAGAAGATATCACACTGACACAGCGACCTTCAAGCCCAGAACTCTGGAGGAACTCCAAGGACTGTACATGCTTTGAAGAAGATGAAGATGAGGAAGAAGGGGTCACAAACGCTCCCAGACCCAGTTCCTGAAGGGGCGTGTCGGGGGCAGAAAGGAGCAGAACAGTAATTTCCTTGTGGACATAGGGTGATGGTCTTACAAAAGTTGTAGAAACCTACAACACAGACTCCTGTAAGTTTTTTTCCTTAGGATTTTTATGTAGTCAACAAAATGTGTTTTTAGGGTGTGGGTTACTTACTTGTTTGAGACATCTGATCTAGGATGCACAGTCTATACGAACTGCTCCTGAAATGATACTGGTTAAAGTCAAACAGTAGATTCATTATATCAGTCAAAAAAAAAAAAAATCACACCATGTGGTCCCTTCTCCTGTAGTTCAACCATGTTTTACTGCCTATATCACCAAGTACAAAATGTTTGGGGTTTTTTGGTTATGACTCTCAGAGTTTTGACACATAAGTCCATTTCTAAAAAGTCCTTTTTTCTACTGCCCAGTGCTGAGCTAATTTCTCAAGAAAAGAGGTGTAACCCTAAAAAGAAGTTTTTGGAGTTTGTTACATATAGGTGTAATGCTTATGTATCATATTTCTGCTTTGCACTGTGTCCAAGATGCATCTTCAGTGAAAGTACAACAGTACCAGACTTGTACTATTAGTCCTGTTGATTTTTCATTGGTTTGCCGTCAGATTACATACTGATTTCACAGTCTGCTTCATTCACATTCAGAGCCCTGAGTCAGGGCTGGAGAGCCGTCTCCACTAACCCGCTCTTTGGTTATGTTTCTGAGGGCAGTGCATTAAGGTCTGAAGCAGCAGGGTGCCGTGTTTGCTTTGCCTCAGTTATTAACTCAGGTCAGTTGGAGACAGGGGTATGTGGCAAACCTGTTTTGTGAATTAAGTTATGAAATTCACTGTTCAGTCTGTATCTTGGCACTTAAAAGAAAACTAAAGAAATACTGATTCCCTAAACGGTAAGTGTTGATAACTTTATTTTGTAGTTATTGGTTCAGCACTCGGAGACCAGGCTGTGAAGGATACTACACAAATGTGAACAGCTGAAGTACCTTCCCACAAGCACTGCCTGGTCTTATTTGAAATATTTGAAATTATAAAATTTGCACTGCTTTGTGGAGAGGCTGAATCACAGTCAAATATAGCTCTGTGCCAGGAGTTCCTGAGATAGCCAGGCACATTTTCATATGTGTACTTTGCCTTGTAGCTCCAGCAATCTGTCAGTCACTTAGAAGTTTATGGCCTACAAATATTATACACTTCAGAGATATAGCAAAGTAAAAAAAGAAATAAAAGAGATGAAAAGTAATGAGAGAATCAGCTATAGCTTACAGACAGTAGCAAGAGGAGTGGCTTTCCCTGTCTGACTACAGTGGTGGTGGTTATGAAGAGCACTTCCACACAGGATAAAATCATGTCTATGAAGAGTAATGCTTTAAAAATAGTTATTTGTAAATTAATCCCTGCAGCCCCTTAATCCCTGTTGCTCTTTCCATTACTTTCAGGGTACTTGCATGTTTCTTCTACTTAAGTGGTTAGAACTATAAGCAGCTTTTAAGGGCAAACTCAAGAGGGAAGAGTGGAAGAAGTCTATTCCCTGCTGATTGGCACAATTATTCCAGACCACAGTCTTAGATTCCATTTGTTCTTCCTTAAGCAGTAAAACATTTTTTGGCCTAAGGATTGTCTGTGTAAAGAAGAAAGGGGAATTTACAAACAAACTCAAGAGGGAAGAGTGGAAGAAGTCTATTCCCTACTGATTGACACAATTATTCCAGACCACAGTCTTAGATTCCATTTGTTCTTCCTTAAGCAGTAAAACATTTTTTGGCCTAAGGATTGTCTGTGTAAAGAAGAAAGGGGAATTTACAAACAAAACCACCAAGTAATTTAATTCCAAATGTTATTAAATCAGGATCACATAGTTATCAAGAAATGGTAGGGAAAGTCTGTCTTTTCCTTTTGTAAAGTCAGATATGTACCTTCCATTACTTAACCATGGGGTCCTCACTATGTCAGGACCCTGCCAAAATTACAATGTGAGAGCAACACTTTCTGCGATTGGATATTACTGTTTCATGATTTTTAAAAAAAACTGATTGAAGAGGAATACCACCCACAGAGAAAAGAACTTCTATTTCAGCTGATTTCTTTACTGGACTTAGGTGTAACATCTCACATTTCAGCTGTGAGCCTTATCTCAGTGTGTGTCATGGACAAATAAAGCAGCTTAGAGATTAACTAAGAAATATAATTTAAAACATCGTTGATCTTGCTTGTGTTTACATAAATATTTTATACAGAGACAGAAATAAAACATTACTAATCCATATTAAACAAATTGGAAAGAAGCAATTCAGTAAGTAGTCTGGGGACAGGCAAACTACAATTCTTTAACTAAATACCACTATTTCTTTCTGTTCATTGTAGTTTGTATATAATTCTTCTCTTTAGCCCCCTCCAAAATGTTTTTAGTGTTTTGCTTCAGTAATAATAATTATTTGGACAGTTAGGAAGCGAAACAAGAACATGAAGATGAATCAGTGCATTTTTCCCTGTATTTTATCGCAAGACTCCCTTGGGAGCAGGATTTTGGTGGAGCAGCTGTCAATCAATATAATTGTAATGACCTTTAATATTTAAATCCTGTTACAAGGGGTCTGACTGAAAAATTACAATTTGAGAGCTTTTCCTTGTTATGTTACGCAGCCTTTTCCTCATCTTTCTTACTCCTTGTCAGCTTCCTGCTACTGTTTGGTTATGAGGCTGTGTTTATTAGGGAGTGTTGCCTGTCAGGGGTAGGAGCTGAAACAAGACAGGTGCATTGGTAGACATGACCACATGAGCAAGAGACAACAAGAATAAACAAGAAGTTAAGTCATTATAACAAGACCATATAACAAGAAGATGACTATGAGCTACAGGCTGGTGAAAGCAGTGTGGGATCATATTGGGAAGAGATCACCACGTTTGCCTGCTTTTCTGCTTATTGTAGTCATCTACCATTGCTACTGACAAAGAACAGGACACTGGAGTAGATGGGACCTATTCATGTCTAATGTTTTGCTCCTATGCGATGACTGAGCAAGGGAGTGCTAAATGGGGCAGCAAGTTTCATTTGGTGTGGTTTAACCCACTTTCTAAACCTACTTATTTCTACATTGTTAGCTTCATAAATCAATAAAATAATTAGTTATCTGGCAATGCTCACACATTTACCAGCATATACTGAGATGTCCTTTTCTGTTAGTTGTATTTCCATCTCCTCATGCAGAGATATCAGATTAATTAGTGAATCAGATCTTCCCAACCTGGGGGTCACTGTTGTACTTACTTACAGTGCATTATTTAAATCAATATTTGGATAATATCAAGAGTAAATGGGAACTACAGGAAATAAGACCTCAGAACATATGTCAATCAGTAAAATATCTATTCCACCAGAAAACAGTTTGACATACCTGCAGTTTCAGAGAAAGGCTGATGCAGGACCTGGCAAGATCAGTCACTGGAAAAGCTCCCGTGAATCAGTTAGTTACAATATGTGTTCTGAAACAGTTACCAGTTTTCTAAATTCCAAGTAGCCAGCTGGTGTTTAATTGCAATACATTGATATTTGTTGAACTGTCAAGAGCTTTCAGCAATGAGTAACTACTGTTGATAAATTTTAGTGAAATAAGAAAATACTTCGATCTCAAAAGATCAGGCTTTGACATTAAGGAATATATAATTCTCTCTTGTAGAGAGAGTGCCAATAACAGAAATCTGAGAAAGATGAGCCTTAGACAGAAAGGAAATTCGTAAACAGCTCATGCTGGATAGATTTCTTGTTTGGGGTAGTGTGCAGGATGACATCAGTATGTTATTCACATGTGTTATTTGTGAGAGACATAAAGACTACAGGGAGAGGATAATACAAGTTATTGTATGGATATCCAAAGTCACGGTCCAGCGCACGTCTGAATATGGTAGCGGGTGAGCATTTGCCATGTGGCATGAGAACTAGGGATCATTGTGATTCCAGCTGTGATCGGAAAATGCTATGGATGGAGAGTAGCTCTCTTAGTTTGTGGGGAAGATCTTTGTTTAGAAAGTCAGCTATCTGGAGGCTTTTTGAACAACACTCTTGGGAAATTCTGGCTCTGGGTTTTGCTCCGGTGTGGGATGGCTGCCACTGCTGCTGCTGAGGCCCAGGTCCTTGCTCCTGGGAGAATGCTGACCCAAGCTCCACCACCGGGGAGAGAAGGAACCACTTAATTTTCCATGGAGCTGCTTCTCTTCCCTCAGACTCCCTGGCCTCCTCAGCCGGCTGTGGGGAAGGCAGGTGATGGCACTTCCTACTCCTCCCAGTCTCATGCCTGAAATGTCACCTACCTGCTGCCTGCCACAGGTGGGTCAGGTGGCAACCGGCGTTTTGGAACCCCTGGATTGTTTTATCCCGTAGCATAAATATGCTTTTTAAAAATTATTTTACCCCAGAGGATAAAATACGTCTCAGAAGCAGGAAAGCTTTGCAGTAGCAGCACATGACCACAGTGTGGTGCCAGTGTAATGGCAACAGGGACACTTCTGGAGGAGAGACTGTGCCTCCGATTTTCGTTGGTTTGGGGTTGGTTTTTGTTTGTTTGTTTGTTTTTCTTTTAAACACTGAGACAAACACCGCCTTCTTCTTCAGAGTGTCCAAAATACTGGCACAGCTCAAGGGGTTGCTCTTTCAGGGCCACTTCTCTCTGCTTTTCAGCATTATTTGGCCCTAAACTAGAACGGCTCAACGACCTCAGCTGGGTAGCTGTACTTTAGCAGGGTCAGCACCAGCACAAAGATTGCGTTCAAGAGAGATCCATGCTGATGGATACAGGGGTCTCCGTGTATCACCGTCACCACCTCTCAGGATTCCCACTCCCACCAGTGACTGCAGGAGAACCAGAGAAGAGTGGGGTGTGAGTTTTCAGATTCTTCCTGGTGGCAAATTGGGTTTCTAAATACTTTCACCACAAGATTCATCTTTCTGTAGAAAACTACAATTTTGTCTGGAAACAAAGTCTATTTGTTTTCATTTATATGGACCCCATAAGGTGGATAGGCAGGTTATCTAAACTCAGCTAAAACTCAGCTCAGTTCCAAACTCACGTTTGAGGAACATCTTACCAGTGATGGACTTGTTATCTAAGGATGCTTCGGCCTCAGGTCTAAAGGGGAAAGCAGGTGCAGAGGTACCTGGGAGAATTTTAATTTTTTAATTAAAAAAAAAATAAAACCTCTTAATTTTTCCTGAAAAAAAAAT